CAATCGAGGAAGATTTACCATCTGCTCGCAGGACAATTCTTCCGAGAAGTGCATTTATGGCGGATGATTTACCGTGATTCACGATCCCGGCGAATGCAATGCGTAAACTTTCATTCCGCAGAGATGATCGGGCCAACTGCTTAAAGTCTTTCCATAAGATTGACGCATCCGTTCGTAAACCCATCTGTCCCAATCGTTCTAAGTGAGGCGGGATAGGAGTTTCATCTATAATTTCTCTGAAATGGTCTTCGACTGATGGGAGCTGGGACTTGTGGGATGCTCCTCGAACTTGTGGTTTTACCCAGTCTTTTCCAACCTTTTTGAAGACATCAAAATCGATTAAGAGTGTAGATTTATCCATACTACGACCTTCGAAACAGGCTTCCACTTTGAATGGAAGCTCGTTCCACTTGGCCAAGAGTACGTCACTATAATCCTCGAGGGGTTCCGGAAGAGGTAGGCCTTTTTCTGCAGCGAATTTTTCTCTAAGCCCTTGACGGATGGGCTTCCATCCTTTGCTGAATGTAAGACATTCGGTTGTAATGTTGTCAAGAATATGGGCTAGGGTTTTGTAGATACGGCCCAGTGATTCATATTCCTTGGGCCTGCCCAGTATTTCCTCATATTTGGCCGCCGTTCGGCATGCTGATGTGATGTCTAATTCCTCCAAACGGTGTTGGGCTGCATTAATTGCCAATGTGAATGTAGGAATGGGGTTTGATCCTGAGGATAAATGCTTCACAATGTCGTTCTCTGTCTTCAAAGGTGGTGGCGGTTCGGTGAGGATGCGGTTCATTGCTTCCACCTTGAGCGTCGCCTCGAGCAGGATTTTGTGCATGAGCTCAAGCACTTTCTTGACGGAGAAGTTTTTTGCAAAATTGGCACTTTTCTTGCAGGTCTCGGCCATATCCCGAAGTTGAAAGTTAAGCGCCCTGTATCGGTCCTTATAAGCGGACAGGAGCCCATTTGGGTTGGTCATAGGATTTCGAGAATATAGAGATGATCGGTCCATCGCAGATGGAGGGGTGTAGTAGTGGTATGGTGGTTGTAGGTTGGGTAGTCCCCCCATCATGCGCATCCTGTAGGGCATTTATAAGGCCCTGCCCCAAACACTTGGGCTCCACCATAATGGGAAGGATTTCCATGGACCAGAGAGGACACATGGTTACGATTGTATCAGAGCCCGGTAAACAAACGCCCGCCTTTGAGACCGGCTGGAGACCCAACGCCCATCTATTTGCAACACCACAGCCCCTGACATGAGGGTCTGGTAATCTCATATACTCTTATTAAGACGATATTCAGAGATGAATCAAAAGAGCAAATAGATATATCTATATTTTTTTAATAACTATGCTAATGGGTAGTCAATGTAACTCTATGTCGAGGGAATATATAGCCACAAGACCAAACTCAGGGCTATCCAACGAGAAGGATATGTATATATAAAGGGAGTTACATGGTAGTACAAGGCAACGAACTGGTGACAATGGTAACTCAGCAGGTCGAGGTGAACTGAAATCTCGAGATAAGTCAATAGCGAGCACTCTCTATTCATTGATTTGGCAATTTAGGTACATAGCAATGGGAACGTCAACACATTCTCTCTCTTATAACACGAGGTGAAAATCGCAATTTGTTCACTACTCCATGTCATGAGTAGCGAAACATGTCATATGGCAGTTCGGTAGTATGAAAAGAGAGAAAAGGTGGAAGAAATATATGAAGAGACGGTTGGAAAGCATCGCTTAGAATACTCTCGTTAGCTGACTAAGTGAGTCGACTTGCTGCAGCCAGTATTTGGTCAAATGCAGATAAAGAGGCGAGGACATCACAGTTTGCCGCAACAGCTAGTTGAATGGTTTCAGTAGGAAGGTCAGGGAGACTTTTATTCGGATCGAAATCCAAGGGAACTGAGAATTTTGCGGATATGAATTTTATCGCATTCTCTGTTTCTTTGATCTCATATTCCACCACGTCTGTTTCGAGCTGCTTCAAGAGGTTGGACGAGTGACTGATGGCCAGTTTCCGTGATGTTTCGCGAAAACCTTCTATACTGAGTCTGTAGGACTCAACATAGGTCTTGACAAGCCAATAGGGTATAGATAACAGAAAAGGGATGGTTGTGGCTGCAGCTAGTAAGGATCTGGATATAAGAGATAGGCGAGCGATCCGTCCTTGACTATGGAATCCGGGGTCAAGAAATTGGAGGCTTCTCTCTTGAAGAAGAGAAAAGGCCTCATTAAGTGTATATTTAGCCCGCTTTTCTGAAACAAAGGATGATGTTTCAGAGAGTGCAGCCTCCGATAACGGAATAGTCGGGTGTTTCAATCCAGTTACTGCGGATGGCCACTGTCCGATAGCTTCCGGGTTCTTTGATTCTATCTTGGAATATAGATCAGACAGGCGATTGAGATGCGCTTGGTGGCTAGCCTGTAGAAATTCCTTTGATGCAACATCATCGAGATGGGTAATGACTCGCTGAAGATTCTCTCGATAACTATCGAGATATTGCTTCAAATTATTGCGTTCTGTGAACTCGTGTGATGAAAGAAGCTAGGAAATGCCATGAGATGGGTTTAGGATGTGACATGATACGTACAGTCGAGGAGGCGGTGACGGGAATTTCCATCTCCAAGCTTCGAAGTTCGTTAAGGGCTATTTCTATGACAGAGTTGGTTGAATCTTCATATTTTTTTGCCCAGTTATGAGATGATTTGGCTGCAATGTCTTGAATGTCATGGAAAAATAGTGATGCGTGCTGATTCCATAGGTCCAAGAGCTCCATGAGATCATTGGAATTAGCACTGTCCGTTGGGGAGAATAGGACATCCGCCTCAGCTTTTCCTACGGCAGCCAGCATTCGCCTGAGGAAATGAGTCAGCGAGGGTATAATGGCCAAACAATACAGGATAATGGTCGGTGAAGCTGGTCAATGGTGGCTAGATCCCAACCCCCAAGAATTCAGAGAGGAATCGATAATCAACGTGTATCGTGGTTGGATAGAGATAAAACATGATGGTCCCAGGACTTACCTAAGATCATAATTAATTAGTTTCGACAAGGATATGATACCTTTGCATTCATATATTAGAATTTGAGGCTTTGGATTTGACAGTAATGCCGCCAGGCCATTGATCGTTTGACTCAGACCGAGCTCGGTTTCGAGGGTCTGAACTCGTTTCTTTAGTTCTTCCGCCGGTTCTGCTTCAAACACATCCATCCCATCTTCAGAGTAGAGTAGAGAAGAACCCTGTTACTCGTTAGGTCGTAAAGTTATTTGGATGGAAGTCATACATTTGACAGGTCCGGCTCCCATAATTGTGTCCATGAGGGCGATATTCCGCCCTCGAGCATGGCTTTCAGTCGCATCAGGGGTGGTCCGTACAATGATGAACAAGCGAGGACCTGACCACCGCTGCCCCAGGATGTGTCGATGCCTGGAGGCCAAAAGGCCCTTTTAATCAACCACTTTCTTCTCTTGAGTTCCTCTTCCGTTGGAGAACCATAATCAAGCATGGTCATGACAACAGCAGCTACCTCGACACTGCTACAACTGCGTATGATATCTGGCAATTTCTGCCATGACTTGTCATAGAAGTTTCGCAGTGATACCACACCTATCACGGTGTCCGCTCTTCTGATCACTTCTCGAATCATCTCATTCCAGTGTTCCTTTGTCAATGGTGAGCATCTTTGCCGATTTATAAACTAGTAGAACGGATTACCTGTGAGTTAGAATCGCCAATACCCTAAATAGACTAAGTGTACGAAATAAAATTGATGCTTCCAACTCACTGGGATATCAATAAACTGGAGGGAGAGAGAGGGGTTCAATAGATATTCGAGGTGAAGGAAACGAGCAAACCTCAAGTCCCTTGTCAAAGCCACCTTTTTGAAAATTCGGAAACTTCATGGTGATCACAGGCCACGCGGAAGGTTCTAGATGCTCAAAGCCAACAGGAAGAGCACGACATATCCGTACGAAATCATTGAGGTTGCGGAGCTGCGGGCCGTTTAAAAAAAGGCCATACATTATTTTTCAAGTGCTTACAGTCTCCCGTATACTATCCAGGCCCTCCACCCTTTCTGGGAAACCGAAATCTGGGGCAGTAAAGTCTTGCAATCTCTTTTCAGCGCGTACTCCCATGATTTTCCACCGTCTTCTGAAGCGATAGAAGTCATATCCTGAAGGCAACCCTTGACCTGTCCAGGGGTCGTCCTCTCTGAGCATAGCTGAAACGAGCAAATTCCATTTTTGAGAACGAACTAAGTTGACCCGTCCATTGAGATACGCCACCTGTAGACGGAGTTCAGGCACCTCTTGATCGGCAATGTGACGTATATGACAGGGATAGGCGGTGGTGGGTCCATCTGTCTGGACGTCAGTCGCTGTTCCCTAGTCAAATTGCCTACTGACCTCCTGTGGGAAGGATATCGACGCCAATTATGGAGTTTATGAGTGTGGATTTACCGGTATCTTCTCTACCTACAAAGGCCATGGTGTAGAATGGGGACTTGTGTCGCAACATGGAGTCCCTTAGTCTGTCACCGAGTCTAAGACAACGGTCGGTAAAGTCTTCGTATTCAGTCCCCTCTGAACTTAAAACGAAACATTTAGGGTCGATTCGATGCAATGCACCAAGTTGAGAAGCCCAGATGAGCTCTACCAAGCCATTCTCAGCAGAAGACGTCTCATCAACATCCTGAAGAGAAGGGTAATGGTCCCTGATCCAGTTTTTCCCGCATTCTCGTATTTTTCTCTGATATTCTCGCATGTGAAGAATGTTGTCGCGTTTTTGCGGGGCCATCGAAACGAATACATCGTTCTGTATGCCAAGACCAAATGGCTGTCGGTCGAAAGTTTCGAGGAGGTGTGGTAATTGGTTTGTTCTAGTTACCCTTGTGTCTCTCTCTTCTATTCTCCTCGATATACCATACAGAACTTGTGCCCATAGATATCTGAACGCTGCGTTTAGAGAAAAA